CCTTTATCCCTCTCTCTCCTCCATTCCCCTGGTAGTATACCTAGCCTCTGTAACAAAACGGAAATAGAAGAGAAGAAAAGCGTGACCCGAGCGTCTCGATGGAGTTCGTTTGGTCACGCTAAAAAAAGGGCATTTTTTTTTTTTTAACGCATCTCGATCGAACGACCTTCTGTTAGGTTTAATCATACGAACGACCACACCCCCCTCTTTCCGACGGTCCACCCATGCAGCGTCATGTGTTAACTTGCAGATCAAAGAAAAAAAAAAAAAGCGAAAAAAATATTGAAAAGGATTATGGAAAGGAAATCTTTTTTGCGTCCGCGTGATCTCGAACAGGGAAGCGCGTGCATTTTCGTTCGACTCACGAGAGATTGTACCGTCTTTTTCGAGGTGTTTGGGACAGTGGGAACATTTTCGAAGTGGCAGGCTTCCCTTGTGATCGTCGCCATGTTGATTCGTCTTGTCGCCTACTTTAACGCAAACGAAAGCAAGAGAATAGATTTATTTGCGTGCATTATTTCTTTCGGGAAAAATTTTATTTTATTTTTCTTTTTTATTTCTTTACCGAAGTTTCATCTGGAACTGAAACTTCCGTATTTGTATACACTTATTTTCTGCATTTTGGAGAACGAGATTCGTTGCATTTTTTCTTCGGAATTTTACCTACGTTTGTACGAAAAGCGAAGAGAAGAAGAAACGGTCCTATGCATTTTGCTTCGAAGTGACAGATTTTTTTTTTTTTTTTTTTTACCTGCCCCCATTTTTATTGTTACTATCAAGGACAACGATCATTCAGTTGGAAATAGCGACCTCAGGAGGGAAGTAGAACATTTTCCCACGATCCCTTGTGCCGATTTACGTAATAAGGATTACACGAGAAACAGGCAACAAGACAGAGAGAGATACAGATACACACGAAATACATACATTATACATATACACACACGACAATGCGTGAGAGAAAGTGAAAATGGCCGCGTTAATATGTGTGTATGAGTGCATAGGGGAGTAAACATGGTAGAAGCAAGTTTGTAATTGTGATCCATGAAGGGTTGAACGAGGTTGAGACAGAGAGGGAGAGAATGCCGCCACATGCGTGTGTGTGTGTGTACAATTAAGATATGAACATATGTGGGTGAAAGAGTGAGAGAGAGAAAGAGAGAGAGAGAGAGAGTCGTAATCTCGCTCGTATCACGATGTGTGTATTATATAAGGATATACAGTTTACAATTATTTGTAATGGATACTTTTTATTTGTCAAATAAAAGTTAGTACAAATGAAGGTGAAATAGAGATGCTTTCCTCTTTGTTTCACAGCTGGTTTTCGTTTGTTTCTTTTCTTTTTCCACCCAGGGGGGCGCACAGACTCTTCTGTTTCTTTATTTGATCGCAAAAAATGGAAGATTCGTCTAATTCCAGCTCTTTGGTATAATCGAGAAGAGGATTTAGTTTGATTGGTAAAATCGATGAGATTCTAAAGGGAGGATTACTATTCTTAAATACACTTTGTTTAGGAATTATCTGTAAAGGAACGAAATCGTGTCTCTATACTGGAGTTAAATAAACGGAAGAATCTTCTTCATCGATATCACAGACAATAGTGTGTATTTTAATAATCATCGAAGAGAAAGTAGGATTAGTGAAAAAAGGGACCCAACTGTGTTTTCTTACGATGGAATCTGTACGCTATTTTGTTCTCTTTATTCCATGCAGTTTTATCAGATACTTCTAATTCTTTGTAACAATCTTTTTCTTTTTCTTTGCTACTCTAGATACACTTCGAGTTAACGGTAATCTTTGGTTTAACAAAAGCGATAGAGAGTTTTATATCACATCCACATACATGTATTCTTCGTATTACACAGTTCACTTATGGCGTTCTATACGGCGATTGAGCATCAAAAAGAAACTAGGGCGGCAGGTGTCGGAGTCGAAGACAATTATTCTCCCGATTGTTTGACCGACACTACGATGGAACACTCTAACGCCGAATGAAACATTCTACCGTCAACGCTTTTATCTCCTGTAATTATTCGTATTTTTCATCAAAAATTTCACTACGCCTAGCTAATAAAAAATAAATTTCATTCAATTCCCATTTGCAGAATGGGCCACTTAAGTATCTTCTCTAGCCTCTGGTGGTACGAGAAAATGTTTATACGTAATTTAGAGGGCTTCAAAGGGTAAATAAGGCGGAGGAGAAATTTTTTTGGTGGAAGAAATGGCAAAAAATGAGAGGAAGTTTTACGTTTGATTTAAAATTTTAGAGTCTAAGGTCGTACTATTATGCATGTTTAAATGCACATCAATGTTTGCCACGACATACAGTAGGAAAGAATATAGCAGGGGTGGCCAGCTACGCTACCTTTGGAAGCCACATTTCAGGAAGGAATATTTGAAAGAGCCATTTATCTATCTTTGATAACAGCTTTGATAACTTTGTAACAAGAAATGAAATAAAATAATTACTTTTGGACATTGATCAGTTTTAGCTTACCATATTTCATACATATATTTTATTTGCATAAGAGCTATGGCCACCCTTGAAATGTACATTCATGTAAAAAGAAACAAGAGGACCTTGAAAAGAACGGAGAAAAATGTTTCTTTCATCGTATTCAAACTACGTGTAAAAATTTTCTCGTACCATCATAGCTAGAGAACATAATTAAGTGGCCTGTGTTACATGACCCACCCTGTATAATTCCTAAAATCACCCTACAATTTTTATCTGTAATTACACATAACCCTCCTTAACGTCCCTTGACACCTTATTCAAAGAATTAATTCATGATTTTCACAAAAGAATTAAAAAAAGTCAAACTCTAGATGAAATATTAACCCTTTCGCCACGGCAGTCTTTATTACATAACACAAGTGGCAGATCAAGATATATTCCACGAGGATCGTAAAATCTCCTCTTCCGTCGTTCTAAAATTCGTTTCATTGAATCAAGGTAAAAATGCGTAAAGGATCGAATTCAGGCTTAAATCAAGATGGAAGTGCGCTCGAATGCTCGAATATAACATAATACGAATAAATTTTGAACAGCGACGAAAAGGTTAATCGAATCATCCGGGCAGAAGAGGACTGAAATCGAAAAGAATACGGCAAAGCGTTGGAATGTTCCATCTGCGTAACGATCGCGTGGTACCGGAAGTCCTCCTCAACAATTTTGATCGTGCTCGTGCTGATGGAAGGTGTCGCGGTAAAGTGAGCTCGGTGTGCGATGCATCATCGTCACGTAGGAGCTTCCTGAGGCCGGTGTGGCCGTCGGATTCGGCGTCGGCGTCAACAACGGCGTACCCTGAAGACTAATGGCCAGTGGAAGTGCGGTAGGGGTGCACAGGCTCATCGCGTTTCGTCCACCTTCCGTCACCGAACGATATCTCGCCGGCCTTGCTGACCTGGAAAACGTTCTCCCTGCAGGAACATGCATTAAAGAAGAATAATAAGCCCGTGGAACAGAGCCGTGAGGCGTCCCTCGGGCTCTCTATTCCCTCCTTACTGCAACCACATACACACGTACGTAAGTACACTCTATGGGATCTAATGGTTCAACATCTGTTCCCTATTCCGAGAGAGAGTTTCGTTACACACTTTCGGTTGATGTTATTTCCGAGGAAAATATTTCCTTCGTTGATATTAGCAGAGGAAGTTGTTTATCGAGGAACAGGTTCTTCTTTTGTTAGATCTTTTCATGGATGGACGCACGCGTGACAGAGGAGGAGTCTTTGAGAGAGAACACGGAAGAGGAACGAAGGGAATTCGATCGAGTCCTTGGAAACTGAGCGGAGTTTTATATAGTTGTGCAGTAGCTTCTTGGAAATGTATTATCAGAGGGATGTGCGTGAAAGAGGATGAACCCTCTTGATGTGGATATCTCTATGTTTGGTATTCAACGAGCGGAGGATTTTGCTTCGTGTAGCGCTCGTACGCTTTCTTTTTAATTTGATTGATTAGGGGATGATAAAGGAAAATGGGGGATATTCTTCAGGAAACTGTTCACCGTTGAAAATACCTGTGTTCTGAAAATAAGACACCTATTATGCTCGTACAGAAAGTAATTGTATGGTTTAAATGACATTTCCTCGACGAAGTTACTGTCACGTATAAGTAAAAATTAATTGCCAGCGTTTTTCTCGTAAGTGGTAGATTTGTCAGAAAAATAGAAGAGGACAAAATTTAATTATCTTTTTGTAAACAATACGATGGCCTGAATAGATTTTTTAAATTTGCAATGGTTTTCGCGTAATGACGATAGTACAAGTTTTTTTTTCAATTGATAGCTGTAATTGTTTTTATATTATATTACAATTTCGTGACAATGTTTGATGTGGCATAATTAATTACACTCTATCAGGAAATGGATATTTCGAAGTTTTATTGTCTTACGAAATTTCAGACTGAATTATTTTTCGCAGGATTTTAATAATTTTGTAACGACTGGTTAGGCTTGCTACACATTCAATAAGTGTCCTGATACAGTAGACGCCCGTGTAACATGGTACGTAAATTTACATTTTCTCAGCGTACCGAAGTTCCCGTAATTGACGGTACATTATACTATACGGTAATTGTTTTATGGTGTACAAACTGCAAGGGACCAACAGTGTTCGTAGGCATGGTTTACTGCTGCAATAATGAAATATAGGACCATCGCCCTTCTGGCGAAACTGTTGCGACAATTATAAATTATAAAATAAATATTAATAAAAATGTAACTACAATACCTATTTTACTGTAAGTGAAATAAAAAATATTTCACCGTTACCTCTTAAACTTAAGCTTATTTTGTAAGCATGTGTTTTCAAATTCATGTTTTATAAACACGCGTTTCTGAATTTGTACGTAATTATTATAATGCGGAACGTATTTCCTGTGTTATATGAGGGTTTATACCTCAGTGAAAGCCGCACGAAATATACCTTGCAAGGAAATATACCGAAATGATAATCTCCAATTTTGAGGAAATTTTGGTATATAGTAGTTTAAAAATTCGACAGGTATTTTGTCATATGGGCAATCGTCCACGGTGAAGTGATAAAAATCGTCCTCAAAATTGGAGGTAATAAATATATTTAGTTTAATATTTGGAAAATTATTAGAGGTAGAGGAATAATGTAACTTGACAGATTTTGTACTTTTTCTAATAACAAATTTGAAAAATAGAAAATAAAACTAATTTTAAACAAATATGTCTGTAACTCTCATTTTTGAGGGCGATTTTCACCCTTTCAATATGGACGATTGCCGATAAAGAAAAACACATGGCCAAAATTTCATTAACCCTTCGAACTCCTTTGTCGAGTGTGATTCGACATCAGTTTTATTCACAGGTATGAATGAAGTAATTTTTCAATTGCCAGTTTAAATATGTATTATATTTTGCAATATTTTTTACCTGGACGAGTAATAGGTGCACATATATACGACCCTTAATGCTGTGGTGTCGTATCCACGAATACGGGACTTGGATCACGACGAATGGAATGTCTTATACTGAGAAACTAGCGAGAATCCGGAGTACAAGTTTTATTTCATTTATTGGTAAGGTACAAGTCTCGGCTGATCGTTATTTGAGTGTATCGTTTGGTGTTCGGAGGAAGACTGCTTGAAAAATTGGAGGAGTACAGAAAATGAGAATTAAAATCTGGGGGTAGAATATTGGAACGATAGAAATTCGGCGATTGGTCTTAGGATATTTGCAAGAGGATAGGGAAAGGGTAAAAGTGGGGATGGAAGGTCGAGGTGGCTAGAGTTTTGGAAAATCCCAGAAGAAGAGGAAATGGAACATCGGAGAAGGAAAAGACTAGGTTGCTAATTAGAGGATAGATATAACGGGTGGTAAAAAATGTGTTACGCTGCCGTTCGGTACAATAATAACGGTCCCGTTAATCCTCTGCGTCGAGGCTCGGTCAGGGCTGTTTTATGATTTTTTGGGAACCGTTGTTCCGTACGGAACAAATGCTATTTTCAATATAGTTAGTAAAAAAAATTGTTTAAATTGGTTCCTATCTACCAGATGTCGTTTGAAGTGCATGTCAAATAAAATTCTTAAAATAATAGGGAGTTATTAAAAAGAAAATTTAAAAAACTATTTGGAGTTCAAAGGGTCAAGTAAGAAAAGTTGGTGTGTTATAGATGAATTAAATTTGGCAATCTTCAATTTTACAAATTAAATCAAAAATTAGAATTAAAATTAATTTTCCTTGCTGATATAACTGCTTTTATAATATCAGATCTTCAAAGAAAATTAAGAAAAAAAATTTGGAGTTGAAAGGGTTAATATCGTAAAATGTCGCATTTGACCCTGGATTACTTCACGCTCTAATTTACGACCACGCCATATTTCTTCCATCGACTATACCTACGAACGGGAGTGTACCTTCGTTCGTTTAAAAAATACTCCCACTCACCTGGAACACTTGCACTTCAACAACCTGATGAAAGCAGCCCTGAAGGTCCTATTAAAAATCGTATAGATCACTGGATTGATCGTGGAGGACACGTAGCCTAACCAGAGGCACGTGTCCACCACGTGTACTGGCACCGAGCACTCAGGACAAGCGGCGAAGAAAATGTTCAGGAGGAAAAATGGCGCCCAGCACAGTACGAAAGTGAAGAACACCAATCCTAACACTTTGCTAGCTTTCTGTTCCGTGGCCACGGCGTTAGCAGCCAAGGATCTTCTCTTCGTACGTCCGGCTAGAAACCTGTGAACACGAATGATTCAATATTTCAGCAGAATTTAGGAAGTTTCGAAACGCTCGAAGAGCGAATCCCGCGCCATTTGCATGTGCAAATGGCTTTCGGTGCTCGAGGGCTAATCCCCGCGTTTCCCGTGGAAACGATCTGTCGCACGTTGACGCACAATCCGTCGGATCCAGGGCGAAACGAGTAATCTCGGCGTCAATTTCGCGATTACGCCGCGAGAACGAAGTCAAACGTTGGAGACACGGATAATTGAAGACTCTGCTATGCATCGTACCGATGTTGTTTCAAGCGGAAACTAACGTGGAAGACTTTTGTACGACGAATAAAACGCTTAGAAAGGGAGTGGTTAAATCAGAGAGACATATGTAGTTGAAACTGTAAGTCTAAGCAGATTATGTGTAAACAGTGCTGGGTGAAAATTTAGAGAAAAAATATTTTAAATACTAAATGCTACATAGATTACATAGAAATTTAAAATAAAATATTTTTGTATTAGTAACCTGAAGCATGTAAAATGAAATATTTGAACTTTATATTTCAAATATGTACCTGAAGTATTTATTGACAATGAAAATAAGTTGAGAGAGAAAATGGTGTTATAACGCAAGAAATCATAATATTTGGAAAAGTCAATTTATTTTTAATTCACATGTAACGAAGTGCCTGCATTGCTTAGGCTACTCCCTTAATTACGAATAAACTGAAAATAAATTAAAATAAATCAAATATTTCAAAGTCCAACTATTTTCAATATTCTTCGAATAAAATACTGTATTAAAAAGTTTATGCACCAAATACACTATTTTATTTTCACAGTTGTATGCTCGATTTGAAATAAAATAGACTGCTTACTACTTACTATTTCAAACAGCTCTAAATTGGATTAGTGAAAAAGTGAAATTCACAGGTTTTTCTGTTTACTCCTGATGGGTATCGTGTGTATTAATTATGTGAAAATAGGCGATGCTTGATTAATAATAAACCATTTTAACGGAGAGTTTCGCCGTGGTTATCACCACGTCGGTTATTATGAAATAAAATGACGAGAGCCTGAAGGCATCGATAGTACCCAGTGGTCGATTACCGCTAATAGTGCACAGTGAGCACTTTCGTCGAGCGCTTATAAACGCCGGTAGAAATCAAAGGGTTAACGTAGACACAGTATGAAAAAATCCAAGAAAAAAGATTAAGTAAAAAAATACAGGAAATAAAAGACTTCCTGTTCAGCCGAATTTTACAACACTATCAAAACACTAACTCAAAAATACTGATCAATTCTACTACGTTTGGCCGCGTTTCTATGAATTTAAATACATCATACTACAATACTACAATTTCCAAGAGTTTTCGTACGTTTTGTAGCGACTTCTAAGTATTAATAATATTATGTGAAAGAGGATAATAAGAAATTAAATAAAGAAAATTACATTTATTTAAAACTAAATATAATAATAAGAGAAATATAAAGCATAAAGGCGGTGCTGTAGCTTTGCACCGATTTTAAAATATTTTCGATTTCATCTCTACGGAGATGAATTCTCATTTCAGAGAAATTGATCAGAAAAATTAAGGAAGACTTGAAAAGCATTGCATTTGTCTGTGTATAGTGACTCTCGTTAATATTCGGACACTCTTTAGAACAGTATAACTTCTTTTATATTGGAGTTAACGACTTCAGTCCTTTTTTAAAGTTAGAAGAATTAGTATACTAGATGACGTGTATAGTCGGAGCCACGATATAGCGAGGTCGTAAAATCGGTTAGGCGTCAAAGTAAACATGTTTTAGCTGCAGGGACCCCGAAATTGATAGAAATACGAGCAGATAAGTACTTGAAACCATGGTCAGGACCGTACAAAGAATTCTTGTATCCAGCGAAAGTCAAACTGATTCTAATATATTTACTGAAAACTGCATGCAGCTAGGACAAATTAGGGTTTCTCCCTCTGGGGGAAGCCGCTTTTGGAAGTACGGTTACAGGTAAAGGTCTTATTGATGTCTTTAGCATCTTAGTTTATCTACTCGTGTTATATACAGATAGAAAGTGCAAAAAGATTGTGTAGCTTAATATTAACATATTTTCCATTTGTAAATGAAATACCATTTTCTACTTGAAGTACCAAATCATATGCTACCATTCGTTTATTGTTGGAACCCTCAAACAGACTGCAACACACGGCCTTGAGTGCCGCAACATCAATCGATGCCGATTCTTGAGAGTTTAATTTACGACCTCGCTATATCGTGGCCCCAACTATACAAAAAATATTGAAAAAATTGCAATTTGTGGAAATCACGGAGAAAATTGTACAGGTCACTGTTTACAACTTTTTTATCTGAGCACGTTGTTACGTACGCAGACTAGCCGACACGGCGGCGCCGAGACTTCCGCCTAGCGCGCACCCCCTCGAGATAAAATAAACGAACGCGTTTCGTTTCCATCGGAAAACTAGGCCCCCCACTACCAAAAAATACAGATTTTTGGGTATATAAGGGCATGATTTCCGATGCTCTGGGGCACAGTCACTCTGAACTTTAAAGTAGAGCAGTATTCGTATAGTCGCCGGTTGACACAAGCAAGATCGGGCTGAATTCCCTTTCGAGCAACTGAGTATAATACTTATCTCGTAAGTGTCAACTAGACATACTTGTCTACGACGTCCCCGCGTACTCGCCGTGTAAAGTCGAGAAGGAAGATTCTTGCTCAGCCAAGAATCAACCAATGTACTTTACCTTTAGACCATAGTAAACTTTTGTAAACTCAATTATTATTAGAATATAGTTACTGTAGAATTGCTTCAGCCTATATTCAATTAACCATCTCCTTGTAACATTAGTAACGAATCAGCTAAACTCACAAGGATATATCTTTACCGCTCGAGGTATATCCGACATTACGGTACGCACTGTCCTCACAACCACCAAACCTTTTCATCCTTCGGAGAACGACGTAGTAACCACATACGTCGAAGGTTCCAATCCTATCGGACTTGTTGGAGTACGACGTATTAACCACATACGTTGAACGTTCCAACCGGTCCACCAACCCAAACCAATATTACGCTCCGTGTGAGGACACACAAGCGTAACGCGTAACAACGTAATGAAAACTTAAAAAATACGTTTTGTAGATTTATGTCAATTATACACATTGTTTAATCCTCGACAGGTATGTCAGCCGCCCGACCCTTAGATTTCTTAGCATGTAGTTCTATTGTATATATTTTTCGCCTTCGCTCGTTTCGTAGCAGCGGTAATTTTCTGACGCCACGGCAATCGTAGTCTTTCAATCTAAGAACTTGCTTTTACCTTTTATTGCCCTGTTTTCGAGTTAGAATCTTCGCCCCTTTTTTAACTTGTACATTTTTGCATTCATATGGTCACGAGAGCCGAAGCGCGTCTTAACGTTATTGTCTGCTACGATCATTGTTCGAGGAATTCCCGCGTGCGTCACTCAAGGGTACGCTTGGTACCTGAGAGTGACCTATGGTCTGGGGGGTGGCATTTTCGTGTAGTTTTCCCACCTATGATTTTAACCAATAGTTTTCGCCAACCACCCTTCCCCACCACTATCGAAAAATGTACTCAACCTATCCGAGGGCCTCACCCCCGCGATGCGTCCTCGCACGGAGGTGTCGTGGGACCTTTCGCGAAAGGGAAAGACAGAAGTCATCTGACTCCTTTTTAGAAGTTTAGACCATTAGTAATAGTTGTTTTGTCCTCCTAATCACGGAGGTGGTCCTTCGAAGACGAACTATTAGATTTAGTCGGCACACCACGTGCTAAATTCGACAAGGTTCGAAAGTTGGTTGCAACTACCATGAGCACATCAATAACACACATGCTGAAAATTTCATCGAAATCGGTTAATGTCGTTGTGAGTTACAAACGGTTAAAGATTGTGAAAATCGCACTATTTCACGACTTTCGGCCTAGAACTGTAATAAATCTGAAGATTCTTACATATTTCGATGCCTGTCGCTTGTTTCTCTATCCACCGAATTCGATGAAATTTTCAGCATGTGTATAATTCACATAAATCTACAAAACGTATGTTTTAAATTTTCACAAGCTCGGATAAAAAAGTTGTAAACAGAGACCTTTACAATTTTCTTCGCGATTCCCACAAATATTGTATAATCCTTCTAATTTCTAAAAAAACAAAACTCAAGTCGTTTGGTCCAATTTCAAGAAAACTCACTGTACACAGACAAATGCAATGCTTTTCAAGTCTTCCTTAATTTTTCTGATCAATTTCTCCGAACCCAATTTCTCTTTACCCACCACAAAGCGAATGGAAAAATATATTCACCTGAGATTCAAGGTGTTTGGAGCGACGTTTAGTTGGAGCTTCAGAGCCCTCAGAGTGAAGTTCCTTGTCTCGCGACCAATGTTGTCCGGCGTCTGAGTGGCTTGATCCACTTTCGCCGCCAGTTTTGCCCCGGCCGCGCTTCCGGTCGGGTTCCCCGCGCCGTTCACACTGAAATTCAGTTGCGGTTCCGACTTGGCCGGCCTCGCGCCCTTGCACCTGTTATATTTGCAACGGAACAGAGGCTACATCCCCGCGCTGTAACTCGGTTAAACTGCAAAACTGTCGCTGTTTCGCGGGCAAACAAGTTGCCCTCCGCGGAGGAATTGCGTGGCACTGTGACGGTGTATGCGCGTCGCATAATGTAACATCCCTGCACCAGGAATTTTCTTTTCCGCGTTCTTGGAATACATGAATTCGTTTCCCTTTCGAATGAGGAACTTCTGGTACTTTTTTTTTCCCGAAGGTTGGACGGGGAGGTGTTTCAAATTATGCAGAATTTAGAATATATATTCGCACTTTAATTAAAAAGTGACGTAGCACTTTAATTAAAAGTTAACGAAAGTGACGAGTAAGTAGAGGAAATGTTAACTTCGACCATTCCTTTTCTGCAAAATTTTCTCATTCGTCGTAAGATTTACAGACTTCTCATCAATTTCGATACGCTGGATAATATACCGGGTGAGTCGGTAAGAACTGCTATCCGAAGTAACTCGTTAATTATTGCTTTGATGAAAAAATGTTATATTATATATATATTAAATACATTGAGTGAATGCATATGGAGATAAGAACTGCTGTCGGAAATACATCATTCGTTCCTTACTGTCTTCATGAAAAAATTTCATACATGAAATTAGGCAGGCACATGTTGATTTCTTTGTCTTGAATTGTCTCAGATATAGAGGTAACCGTGAGTTTTTTCGTTTTTTAATGGCACTGCTGTTTTCATTAGTGCTGCGTATCGTAGTCGATAAAAAGACGAATTCAATGACTTATAATAACACTTTAAGCGCCGGGTCCGTCTAAATGCGTTTTTACATGTTTGTGCAGAAAAAAATATATCTCTTGAACAGCAAGTGGCTCAATATTTGTATCGTTAAAAATCGTCGCTGTGCCTGTAAATAAGCACTATGTAAAAATTTTCAATAGAAATTTTCTGTTTTACAAGAGTTATTTTATTTTATTTTCTAAAAGTGCATGCTTCTATAAAACTCGTAAATATTGCAGCGCTTTAAGTAAAATTTCCCACAAAATAGCCGGCGCTTTAAGCGATAAGGTGATATTGAGTTGACCTGGAGCCTCAAACTTAGAAAATTTGTTGAAAATTAACGTATCTCTTACTTTCAATGTTTCTGCTCAAAGTATGTCTTTACATGTATTTTTATCAGCTGCAATACACAGCACTAGTAAAAATATACAGAGCCATTTAAAAAACTCAAGGTTATCTCGGTACCTCAGACAATTGAAGATGTAAACAAATAAAAATGTATCCATTCAACGAACCCCATCGAATACAATGTATTTCGTATATAAAACTTTTTTATTGAAGCAATAGGTAACGAGTTATTTCATATAGCAGTTCTTATCGACTCACCAGGTATACTAAGATTAGTGAAAAGAAGCAGCTTCGCGATCTCTGACCAGATATCCTCTAATACTGCTCACGGAGAACCGAGTAAACTCTAAATGCTCGTTTTACCATCGTTAATTGCGAAATTATATATTTTTTCTTCTCAAGTTTTTCACCTTCCGTCTATAATTAAGATTTCGCTGCTTCTCGTTCGCACTTCCGTCCTACAATTTTGTCTCTCCTGTTCCCCTGAATTTACAGGACACCCTCAAGGGACGGGCGACATAAGCGGCGACGGGAAAAATTTTTAATTCCATTAATGCGTCAGTCTATGCTGCCGGCATCAACAGCGAACACTGCGTAGCATTACGTTAATTGCCGCCATTAAAGGGAACCTAGTAAAATTTCCTCCACATTGATAATCGTCAATAATTTCACTGAAAATTGGATAAATCTTTCCCTTCTAACAAACGATTACACTGATTACCGTTAACGGCGATGCTCATCGATACGCGCCCGTCTGTCTAGAGGGTAGATTCTAGCGGATGCGTCAAACAGTGTTTTAATCCTTTGCTCTCGAAGGCCCTTTTTTCTATAAGGAAATAGCAAAAATTAATGTAATTTTTTAAAACTAATATTTTTATTAGAAGTTGGCTCTTTCAAACTATTTCACTGCTGAGATCTCTAAACGTGTAGTGAACAATTCACGGAGGTCCATAGACCTGCTGTCTTGGAAAATATCATTCTTAGAGTTGCCTCTAATGGTAAATGTAATGTCGCTTCTTAGTCGCCTCTCGAGTGCAAAAGGTTAAAACGCCTGTCCGACCGCGTCGTTTCCTATTACTTAATTTTTGGTGTCTTTGTGTTCCTAAATCCCCAAGGATCCATAATCAGAATGTCATTTTCCGGTAAAAATTGTTTAACCCTCGGAAGGCGAATGGTTTTAGACGGACGCCGTAGACGAATGCAGGGTCATTTTGACTCATAGCAAAATTTCTATTGTACACGAGTTTCAAGAAGTAATTGTGTATAAACGTGTACACTTTCAACTGTATATATTTGATATTTTTCTTGTTTACTTAAATTCGATACGTAAAATAGGTGTATTTCCTGTACCAAGCGTAATCCGAGCCGCCTGACTTTATCGCTATCGAGTCAAAATGACCTGCATTCGTCGTACGAGGGTTAAATAGGGTAATGTTTACATTGAAATCTGTAGTCTCTACTATCTTCAAAAATACCATTTTGACGTTTCTCCTTCGTGTAAACGGTGATATTAACAGTAAATTACTTTGTGTGTCATGGATGTTGCAGAGGAAGGTGTATACTGAAGTTAGACATACATCAAATATAGCCAATTTTTGCCGTTAGTGAATGTGAGAATGATTGAATAAAAAACGAACGTGCGTCACTGTGCCTGTTTTAGTAAAATAAAGTTTCAAGCAATCATTAAATCAGCCTGACTTTGTCGTCCGCTCGCCTATCCTGCAGTATCTTTACCAACCTTTCACTTCCAGAGCCACCGGAAGTCCTCCAAGCGTACCTCGTAGAGAACGAGGAGGAAGTTGTGGTTCCAGTGGTGGAAGTGTTCGAAGACGCTTTCGTGGAGAAGTATCTTCCCCCGAGTCTTCGAAACTGGTCTCTTTCCGGGTGTTCCGCGACGAAACGAGCCTTTTGTCGAAGAAGCTGCACCGTCAGAATGTACGTGGCCACCATGACGATCATAGGGATGTAGAAGGCGATCAAAGAACCGAACACGAAGAACGCCCTGTTGTTTATTACACATGCTCCTGGCCGTGGCATGATATTCCGAGGATTTATTATACCTGGACAAAAATAACGTCGCTAAATATCTCACATGTTTCGCTGTGCTTAGTCTTTAGACGGTCGCAAATTTTGTAAAATTCGCTATCTTGACGCGAAGTGTTCGCTTATAGCTATCAAAAGTCGACAATATGGGCACAAGCCCTTCAAACTCAGACTGTTAACCCTTGAAGGATACCATGGGTGAAATTTCACCCCATGCGAAATTTGTTTCAATCTTATTAAAATACTCAACCACCGGCAATACTGATTTTATGGGTATTTATTCACACTATCAGTAGTGATAACATTATCATAAAACAGATCAATTCTCCCATGTACTTTGCTATAAACGTAAAAGAAAGTTAGCTTGGGGTGATGTTTCACCCATGATACCTTAAGTCAGCGTCGTTCAGAAGACCTTCAGGCGGGCAAGGGCGCCCGCCGATGCCCGCGGGCAGTGCTGAGGGTGAAATCGCGGGCTAGTGAAAGCGTAGTGGGGGAAAGACGCTTGTGGAAGAGGTAGTGTAGGTTCTTGATAAAACGGGCGATGGTTACTAAATACATACATATATACAGAAGGCGTAGCTTGTTGCCCGCCGATTTGTTTATGCCCGGGCAAGTCTAATACGTTGCCCGTACGGGCAATTACTGAACGACACTGCCTTAAGGGATCTTCCTATTGCGACGGTTGAAAGAAACTTAATCTTTCGGAAATTTAAAACAAAGCAAGTGGTAGAGATATCCTTTTGCAAATTTGTACGTTTATTCTATCATCTTTTAAGAACACGAAAATATTTTTTATAAGTGAAAATATCCATTTGTTGTGAAATAGGACCAGCGTGAAGAGAGCGTCTTGGAAAATATCCTTAGCGATGGCTGTAATGATATCAGACGTTGTACATATACAAAATACAAAATGCAAACATATTCTTAATCTGTAGACGTGTGGCTATCGTCTGAACTAGAATAATAAAAAAATATTGAGAAATAGAGAAATGGCAAGGTTTCGAAGAAATTGCGTACGATTTTAGCAAAAAGATGATGGTTCTTTTGACCGCAAAGACTGAATTTTGAAAATACTTGCACAATTCTAGTTCAGACGATAAGGCAACATCCACTGAATATACCTGACAAAGGAGGATGTTTAAAAAAAGGCCAATTTTAGCATACGGCCGGAACGAAAAATTTTTTTACAGCATAATTCTACGCACCCTAAGGAAGAAAACATGTAATTGCCATTTTTCCCGGAAATGATGGGAAAGCTATGAGAAATGCGGTTCAAGGTAAAAGTATGATCATACTTATAACTTATATTCCGTCTCGTTTTCTTCGGATGTTGGTCTGTTCGCAAAATTAACCACTTAGAAACTCATATTGAGTATTATTTACAAAGATTGTTGTACGTTAGTGTTTAATAAAAACCAAAAATAATTAATGACAAATTAATCGAAACAAGGAATTCTTTGATGACACGATGCTTATATTCTAAGCAATCAGAAACCAATAATTATTTATTCTAGAAGTGATAAAAGTTATAATAAACTAATCGTCATGACAGGGATACAATAAAAAAGTAAGACTCTAACAGAATTTGCATTTCTTAGCTGTGTATCCACTATGAAAGCCAGTCTTATTACTTATCAGTCTAAACATATACAAGGTGTCTGTTTTATCTCAATACAGTGAAATATCTTTTAAACTACAAAAAATTGCATAAAAAAAAAAATCAATTTTTTCAACCCGTCACAGTAGGAAGATCCCTTAAGTGCATGATTTTTTAAAGTTACAAAAGAAAGTTTTGATACATTTTTGAGCTTCGGCGTTGCAACTTTCGTTCTTACAATTTACAACGACCAGCTGCATATAAAAAAATGTAAATATTTGGCATGCAAATGGTCAACACAGTTCAGGACACGCGCGCCTAGTTATTTGCAACTGCAGCAAACAATAACTTCTCTGGTTTTCATCTAACATTCAATAGAAAACGAGGCTTCAAACGAACAAATTTCGGTTTATTTTTACATGTAGAATTACCCTTTACCAGATTGTACCACGTGTCCGTAATAATATACGCTGGAAAGTATTTAGTACGCACGTGCGTTCCATCGACCTTTCGAGCAGAAACGCACGGTAAAAATTCTAAACTTTTAGTTGAATGTCTATATAGAATTCCAAAATTAATAGTCGAAAGCGAACAGAAAAACAATGCAATCCATTTTTTTTTTTTTTTTTTTCATTGAAAAAAAGGAAAGCACAGACGAAATACGTAATCGTTTATCGACCAGTCAGGCGCGTCCTCGTTGCACTGTATCCGAATAGTTTCAAATATCGAGCAGCTTCTATGGGATAACACAATAGGAAGTCTACGTATATAGGTAGGGACGCAAGTTTCCCGTTCACCCGGCCACTCGTAGAAACATTTAAAGAAAACCGATTCCTCGAGGAATGGTTGATTCCATTCACATCTTCTGAGGCCATCTTTTTCCGTGAGGAGAACTTGGATGATTGTTTCG